AACCCCTAGTGTTACCACACTGTTTGGGGGAAAAACCTGGGGAAAAACACCTTCATGCCCTGCTTTTCTTCGGAGCCTGCTCTCATTACCTTCACCCTGCCCTTGCGGAAGAAGGGGGCCGCTTAAAATGGATTCAACGGGTCTGAATCCATTGGGATTGACGATAGGGCCACCGACACAGGTCCGTGTTGGAAATTCGTCCCTTTCCTACACTCCCTTGGTAGCATCGTCAAAGTGGATGGCATGGCCCCTTGAATGATCCCTTTCCTCTACAAACAGGTGGTCTTGCAATGATTATGTCATTTCCGGAAGTGTAATAACTGGGTGTTCCGGCGAACGAGTGGTGATTTCTCCGAAGAACGACGGAGAGGATTCAGTGGATTCAGTCATCGGAGTCGAAGCAAAGCCTGTGAGGGGTACAGTGCATTGATCCCTGATGCATGCGCTGAACCCGAAGCCGAATCTGTGCCAATCCAACTCCAAGACCATTGTGACCAAACCAAAAGGCAAACGAGGCACATCACCACTATTGATCAAGACAAACGTTCCAAATTTTGTTGACTGGATTCATGCAAAAACCCACTTATGTAAAGTCGATCTTGATTAACACCCCTCGTATGAAAAGATCATGTCCACTTCAAACGGAGTTTATGGATCAAGAGTCTACATTTTACCGGCTCCCCAATGACGCGCACGCGACGACCCGCCACCCGCGACCCCGGTGCGACGCGGGTACGCCACCCGGAGACCTGGAGGTCTGGTAGGGCACGCCACACTGCGTACAGCACAGCTCCGCACGGAGCCGCAGCGTTGTCACCGAGGCCTCGGAGGCCGTGGGCGGCCATGGCAGGGTTGTTCCAGGTGGATGTCCTTGGGGGATGGTTTCGCTTGGACACCTTTTTATGGGGGCTTCACATGTGGTGAACCCGTAAGCCGGGACCCACGAAGGAAACACCAGTTTGCTTCGAAGGGGTCGTTCGCTGATCCACAAACATCTGAACGACCAGACCGTTCACTGTGGTGTTCCCAGACCGTTCACTCAATAGCACAGATCCTATCAACATATAGTGCTTTCAGAGCAGGCACCATCCCCCATGTTCGGTGGTTTAGTAGTGGACCCCCATCTGAATCTGGACACCTTGGGGTCTGTGCTATCGAAGCTGTGAAACCACTAGAGGGAACATGGATAGAGGGAACATGGACGAACATGGACATGTTTCAGGGCTGAACCCGTGAGCTGGAGACAGCAAGTTGGGTTGACCCGTTGGGGAGAACGTCTGTTCTAACCATCTTCAACTATTCTACGTTCCACCATGCATCAATCGTTCTTACCATGTTCAGTTCTATTGGACAACCCATTGAAAGCCTCCCTCTTTCTTATATATGCTTTGGAGCGGTCATGAGCGTCCACCGGCTGTTCCATCCACGAAAATGACGACCCTCCATGCGTTCGTCCGCTCGTTCCGTTCCCGCGCCTGTGTCTCTGTGTCCCCTGCGAGGAAACCGCATGTCCGACATCGGAAGACCGACGATGTCCGTGTCCGCCGACGTGGGGTGTCCGCGTGGAGGAGTATGTGGGGGAGTCGTGAAGTGGCAATGAGTCTGTCCACCCCCAAGTCCTGGTGGGTTGACATCCTGAAGACAGAGGAATCTGTATCTGTTCATCGGTCCGGCGGTCAGCCAGGATTAAGGGTCCAACTTCGGAAACCGATTGAGCAAAGGTAAGGTGGACCTCGGGGTATTTATCTATTGTCGATGGTCAACCCGGTTTTTGGAGCTACACTCCAAGAATTGGAAAGCACATTTCTACCGGAAACCCCCATGGTGGCCACCGGTGGCCACCGGTGAAAACCCCTTGTTTCCTGATCCTACCATGATACACCCTTTCCGTCGGCTCTGAAGGTGTTGGCCTACCAGACTGAGAGACCGGGGCACAACCCAGTACCACATGGATTTCGTGGACTGATGCGACAGTGGTCCCTGGCTTTTACCAACTTAACATGAATAGGATCGAGGACCATGTCTGTGGCCAACCTACCAGTTTGCATTTCTTTCCCCCGGTCCTGCAGATTTTGACCCACTGCCATAGAAATTGAAATACTCCCTGAACTGATTGTAGAAGTGAAGCTCAACACCTAGCTATGGTCTTCGGACGTCTTAGCCATCCTTTCGGGACAATGCCATCCACTTGCACATCAGGACACGTCAGAGTGTACATTCCATTTTCATTTTGACCACACCTACAGTATCTATATCAATACACCTTCCATTTCATGATAGCCATGGATGCACTCATTGAGATGGCGATGGTAAACGTCGTATTCCACGTCAATTCGGATCGATCCACTCTTATTGTTAAATAGTTCTTCTCTAATCCTCATCCATCATCACCTATTGTGGTAGATGCGACCCTAGCGTCGCCAGCGTCCTCTTGCGTTCTTCTTTTCCTCACGCGCGGCCGGAGGCCAGCTTCAGGAACATGGACCCCGGTGGCAAATACCTGAGACACCGAAGCCCGAAGATGGCCAGGTGACACGCACAGCAAACGCTCTTCCTCCCCAAAGTACGTGGGATGTCCACTTGAGAAAGCACGACATTCTTTCTGGTTCAAGGGCTCCCTCTGTTCGTGAGACTGAGTGGTCAACTACCTCACATGTTCCTGGTAAATTTCCGGGACGTTGGGGCGACTGAGTGCCCTTCGGCTTCAAGCCAAGGGACCCCCCCAACAAAAACAAGACAAACATCACGACCAACCGGGCAACTTGGAATTCCAAGACCTGCGGGCCAGAGTTCCATCCTGGCACACAAAAGGCATCCCCAACACCACGTGGCCCAAGTGGTGAGACTTTGGGGTCTCTTTCGTGACCACGGTGATCAAATCTGAAAAAGATCACGAGAACATCCAACGACCTTGATTCAACAGGGGACCTGCCAGTTCACCTCCCTGGCACCGTCGTCTAAAGCCTCGCCCAGGGGCGACTCGTTCTCCAAATCACGGATCCGCAGAAAGAGTTGCCTCGACGAAACCCGGCCGCGCGAGAGAACGCGCCGCGCGCCGCGCAACGTATATACACGACGCCCGCGCCCGCAGGAGAAAACTGCGCGCCAACACGCCCTCGTGCAACTCAACGCCTCCATGAATCTCGTGTGAAAAAGGGGATGAAACGAGGCACAGCCGGGCACCGTCTCTTTTGGACATAGTGGAAGTCCTGGAAAAGGTTCATGCAATACATTGAATATGTGTATTAATATATAGGGAGACCTCTCGGCCAAAATCCATTGGTTGGGTGTCTCCTTATAAAAATACATGCACTCATACTCATACTCATACATACCCTTTTGCAGGGATTCCAGGGACTATTCCAAAGCACCCAAAGGATGAAGGTGTGAGAATGCTGGAGGCACAAACAGATCAAAGATGGAGAAGCCGCACTGGCCAGAGTCCCATTGGTCCCGTCTCTGCGTAGCAACTTTCAGCATCCCGTCGACCGAAACAGCAAAACCACCCTGTTGCAAATCCTCGGGCAAGGGATCATAAAGATTGCTAGACTTAGGGAAGACCTTGCAGATTTTTGCACCTGAAGTCGCCATCTCGCGGGCTCTGGCCATTTTGTGAGATTCATCCTGGATTCGCCATGGCAACGACATGCAACCCACCGATCTGGCACGGGACCTCCATGGGTGAAGAAAATCCCCCAGCGAGTGAGGCGGGCGATGTTCCGCTAGGTCCACGCATGAGGAACACCCGCAGCCTTCAAAAACCATGAAACAGTTATGTTGCCTTCTGTAAAACAATATTTGCTTGGTAAAGTCAATTAAATCAGTTAGTATAATCGACCAAAGTGCCTGAGAGAGCGTCAATGACGCAAAGTCAGCCACGCAAGTCTCATCTCAGTTTGGCAAACACCTATTGTAGTTTGTCCCTTCCTCAAAGGTTGGGCAGGGCAAAGGGGCAAAGCAACCGATATTTCGATGCTGACCCAGCAAAGTCCAGCAAGTAGAGCGAGGATGCAAACAATATTCACAACATGTTTCTGTCAGTATCATGTTGAGATAGAAGCTGGAATAATGCTCTTTAATGCTCTCTACCCGTCGTTCTGGAATGCCACAAGTCCACCAAACAATACATTTTGATGCGAGCACACTGAGCACACCACCCAATGCTCGCTCCTGGCGGCCCAGCGACAGTTGTGCGTTCTCCGCGCGCGTCGGCAGCTCATCGTCCTCGCCGAACAGCACGTGCCAGTAGACCTGCCCCGGCACTGGCAGCGCTCGACTGGGACAAACGGGATCCGAACGGGATCCGAACGGCCAGGGGCGACTGAGAGATATAGCATGTACCGCGGTACTTTTCATCCCGTATATATTTGGTCGCTGTGGGGGTTGATCAGCCATACCCTTGAAGATTCTTCTTTTCCAAAGCCATGCAAACATGCCTCGCGTCCATGCCTCGAACATCAAGCAGAGCGTCGAATGGCCAGGAATGTCGTGGCAAACTTCGGGAGAGTCGCTGAAGAGCATCCGTTCCATCCGTTGATACCTGCTGCCGTGAGCGTGACACGCCCGGCCGGATGGTGTGCCTTGGCAATCAGAAAACCTGAGTAAGTCAATTACCCAGGCTTCTCAAGTTGACATGGAAACGGTTTCCAATACATTTTCAGTGGGGATCTACTTTTCTGTCTATTTGAGGGTATGAATGGGTCTATATATACAAGTAGATTTTGTCGATATTCGATGTCTTAAACTTTATATTCATCCAATCCCAACAGGCATGGCATGGCCCCCTTTTCAAATGACCCTTGGTCCTCAGAACACCCGTTTTGAATGAATTCTAAAGCAAAAACACTGTCTGTGTCGTCCAAAGCAGCTCTTGCTTTTGGAGTTTGGCGCGACAATCATGTGAAATCCCCACGGTGGTTTCAGAGTAGATGGCACACTCCCCATGATGTCCTTTAAAGTGCGGGGTCCACTGCTAAACCACCGACAGACAGGGGTCTGTGCCATCTTCTCTCAACCCACCGCAACCCACATTCTTAACGAAAAACTTCACACCAGGAGTTCCAACGGGTGGATCTCGTAGATCCCAAGTGATCTCGGATCATTTGGCAGCACCACTTGGCACTAAGAGTGGCAACGTGGTGATCAATAGGCATAGCTACCCTTGGTAACTCGTTACACGTCTTTTTGTTTATTTTTACATGGTGAAGCACGGACATCCGAACCCCATTTTTGGATGAAGCCATGAATCGTTGGCGAAGCCTTTGAGGATTCCCACGGGCCTGCCGGGCGTGTCACCCGACAGGCGTTTTGCCCTCACAAAATCTGCAGAGCCAGTGACAAAGCAAGAAAACTAATTATACTATGACTATATCCTCCATAAAGGGATAAACTATGATAAACTAATGAAAAAACCACATTCCATGCTTCTAAGAACCCTCCCTCCCCTCCATCCGCGCGGACAAATCCATCCAACCGTGGTTGTTTGCACGTCCTCAACGCACCTCTCCAAAGGGTTCTGGCGGATCCTGGACTTCGAGACCGCGAACTGCGCGCAGCAGTAGGAGCCCAGCGTCCTGCAGTGCGGTCCACTGGGTGGGTCGACGCAGCTCCGGTCGCACGGGCCGTTTGAGCTGTGTGGATTGAGGAAACGGGGCCCGGGGGACGAACGGACTTCCGTTTGGACTCCTTTCATCTCTTTCGGTTTGGTCGTCATAATCCACTACTGCCATAGGGGTATGAGTCATGACTGGACTCCCAGGTATCTACTGCCCTGTATTTCGGGGGAGGCTGGAGTGGGAAAGGCTTCCAATCTAGTGGGTGAATGCAAAAATGGGACATGACTTCAAGCTGGCAAACACCTGTCCCCCAAATGTTTTAAACTATTCAAAGCTGAGACTCCAAACACATTTCATTTGAGCAGATGTGAATCAACGATCCTCAAAGTTGACTCCACAAAGCAAAGCACCCGGGGTGGGGTGGGATCTTGGTACCCTCCGGGCCTGGCGGGCGGTCGATCGAAGAGTTGCTGGAAGACATCCGCACGGCAGGGAGACAAAGAAGTGATGAGGCGAGGATAGTTCAAGTGGACGAAGGGCGACCTGGGCACCGTCCACTTGACGCACATCACACAGCAGTTACTACACCATGTTATATCATTCCTCACTGCCAACGAGTCAAGCGATGGCAAGCCGGGCATAGCGTGTGGCGATACTACGACCAGTTATACTTGACGTCTGTTGAATCTTCGGGGCTTGATGGTTCTTCGCAAAAGTATCGATCCTTATTCATCCGGTGAGACGTTTCCGGTGTAGGTGAGTGCCTCTGGGAGGACAAAGCCTTTCTGCAACTTGAGGCAGTGATCCACTGCGGTCTACGTGTCTGGGGTCCACAGATGGTGCACAGCACCCCAGGTCCAAGCTTTTGCTTCGCACCCACTGGACGGTGTAACTGGAGGTTCTCAGTTCAACATTTCGTACCTCAGCAGGTGGTCAAACAATGTCAAACACCTCGAGCATGGAAAATCAAGACCCGGAAAGCTATGGTGAATGAGAGATTGAGCGGGGTGCTCCCATCTTACGACAAAGCCATGTCTCAGACGGCTACCAAAAACAAAGTCCACCAGGTTCTCATCCACCCAACATCCAGTGGATTTTGGATCGGAAACACACCGTCTTTCTTTTCTACCATCGCACCAGTGTGCGTGCCATCGTACCAATCCCTTCGACACACGTCGACACACATGTACCAAGCACCAATCCCTGAAAACTGAACCAAATGGCTTGGGTCTATCCTATTAATTGCCAGCAACAGTGGATGATGATGGTTAATGGCCTGCTTCAAACCTCGTGAGACTTCTGACGGCTACCACCGGGTCGACCCAGACAGATCGGGTCCACCACCACCCAAATTCACTCCGAAGCACCGGCTGCTCCGGTCCCGTCTCCAAGGGACGTCAAGCTGTGTTGATCCATCGACTTGGTCACCTCAACGCCGCGCGCTTTTGGCGATCAGAAGGACACGGCGCCCGGATATATACGCGGTACTTCTGGGAGCCAGGCATCGAACCAGAAGAAGACACGGCGCGATGGAAAGTCCAAAGGAAAAACCCTTTCTTTTTGGCCCTTTTTGGCCCCGACCTGCAGACCATGCATGTAGATGTAGATGTCTCACCGTTCTAGTTAGACCAGGGACTACCATATGAGGTACGGTCGATGACTCCCAGACTGGGGGTTTTTGGACGAGTCCAAGTTGTGGTCAACGTCTATTACGTGCGGATGTTTGTATCGTCCAATTTGTGAACCCCCTGTCCTTTCCCAATGTTTTGTGAGTCCCCTATCGTTTGCCAGGGTTTAGAGCATGCCAGCATATGAATGACAATTCCATTCTGCATTGTAGCCCCGATTCCATTCTCGACCCACTAACATCTGGCTGAAGCGTACACTCATAGACTGATAGACACATGAAATGACACATGTCATTCATTGTTTCGAAGATTCAGGTGTCAAAGTGAAAGGTGGCTTATTGCCAAATGAAACTATTGCTAGACAGAACTCCGGTTCAAGCCACCCCTTCAACTGTTCATGCTGAAAGGGAAAGCACCAGGCACTGCACATGTTGGTGCTGGTGCATTTCGGAAATCCTCGGTCCTCGCGTTTTCCTTCAAGCGAATGCCTGATATCTGCATCGATGGTACCGAGTGGCCAGCGACAAGTAACCCCAGTGCATGTGATCAGCAGCATCCGCCTGAAAGAAAAGGGTGTAGTCTGCAGGCTCCTGGACGAGAGATCTGCAACAATCGGTCAACGTCCAAAGCTGTTCTGTTGACATGGCATGGACAGTAGTGGATGGAGAGAACGTCTTTCTTTTCGGGCATGTGGGGTAGTGCAACACCTTCTATCAACAACACTTGACATGTTTTTCGACGTTCACAGTAGTGGAAGACTTCCCGGTTTTGCGAACGAATCCCAGCACGATCGGAGGAGATGGACTGAGTCGATCGTTAACTCCTCATGGTTTTTTGAGCCGATACTAGTAATATCTTTCCTACAAGTGTTCTTGCCAGATCTCCAAGTTTGGAGATACATCCAAATCTCTTGCAGCATGAATATCAACAAGTAGATCAAACATCTGTGGTGAACTCACAGTGGTAACTCACCCTTGCAGTGTCCGTAGACAAGAAAGGTAAACACACTATGACCATCTATGTCTATCACCAAAAACTCATCGAAATTAAAGCTAAATGAAAAATCCATTTCAGCAATAAGAAGGAACAAAAGAAACACACACCCAACATAGAGACCCACCACACAAACATGAAAGGCAAAAGGGTCTGTTTTCGGGACAAAAAAACGACCATCAAACGACCATCAAGTGGTTCTTTCGAAAGAAAAGCAACTTCTCTAGGGTTCATTGAGTCCATTGAGGCCAACAAACCCACTCTGACGAACACCGAACACATGGTTCCGTGGGTTCTCCCCCCGGGTTGCTCAAGGAAAGAAGTCTTCCAAAGGACCATCACATCCACGTAAGCATCATGTGATGTGTTCGTCAGAGTGCAATAGTTAGAATATCTATTTTGGTTCCAACCGTTTCTGCCATCTGAACACCTCCTCTAGGTGTTCTCTTCAGTTTTTCAACACTCTTAAACACTTGTTTTCTATGTTCGCATGTGTTCCTATTCTTGGGCTGTTGGTCTAAGCTACAGACAAAAAGTAATGTTTCTGGAACTCGAGGAAGCAGGACAAAAGAACAACTAGAAAAAAATATAGTGAACGATGGAAATAAGTAGTAAACAAATAGACAGAAAAGGCCACTGCAAGAAGACATCGGGATAGAATATGATAGAATCAGAGTATCAGATAGACTAGAGGAAGTTTATTGAACAGGAAAGCACCCCAAACCAGTCTGAAGCCTGGGGTTTGATCCTTGTCCAACTCGAGAGAAGGAACCTTTTAGACATGCATAACTTACATAACAACAACAAACAACAGACTGTGCACATATTTTTCTTGTAAGACCAGTGATTCACCCGGCATCCTGTTCCATTGAGGGTGGTCCAGCCGTCCCATCGAACATACCAACACAGGTGGAACGTGACCGTAAGGATAGGACCCGTCATCTGGGGTACCTTTTTGGATAGTCTAGTTCGGGTTCTTGAACCACTGCTGGTATTTCGATGGACACCACCAATTGGCACCACATCCGAATGAACAGGAAGTGGGAGGGCCCCTCTTGTGATTACAGGCCTTGCAGGTCCAGGAAGGTGAGTTGAACAGTTTTTCAATCAACCCGTCTTTTCTGGGAGGGCTCTCGGAAGGCCTCATCTCTTTTGGGTGCCAACAGAGCGCCCGAGCGAGACCTCCGAAGTTGGAGCGGCGAAGTTGGAGCGCTTGGTCACCACCCTTAAGTGTGTTCTCCTCATAATGGTGGATCAAGTGCCGCAAGTAGCCCGAGCATTCATCACGGCGCATGCCCTTCGGATGGACACCGACCCGTTTCGGAAACGGTGGGTCGTTGGGCGCGAACAACGGGGCCGCTTCGGGCGCGGTTGGAGCTGGTTGGAGCGGCACTCTCTGTGCCCATGCGCCCTCGGTCGAAGGAAGCAGACTGCCCTGGGCAGTGTTTGAAGTGTTTGAAGGAACGGACTCCAAACATGAGTCAGAACAAACCTTGGACGAAGAGACTTTGGGCCTTTAGAACAAACGTGGGCCTCTTAGTCCAATCTGTTTGGGCTATCGAAAGACCAAAGGGGTGGGCACGATGTTTAAAAAACTCTGTTACAGACTTCATGGTGTTTTCTTTTTTGCGGTGGAACTGTGGATCTACCTGGATTTCTGTGATCCGCATAAGGTGTGTCTTCTGGCAAACTAGTTAAGGTCCATCAAATCTACATATTTGGGTGTGTATGAAGATAGGGACACCTCCCAGTTCGACTCCCTGGGGGTCTCCTATGGCCTCCTATTTCAATACACACCCTTCTCTACGCATCGTTTCCATCCACCTGCAAGTGAGCAACCCAAAACAAAGCAATCTCAAACTGTGGAAAAAAAAAGACACTGTCCATCCGTGAGATCTGACCGCCCACTATGCAAGACTTGTAAAACCTTAGGACGTCTGGATGGATTCAGCATGATCCAACTATACCTTCTCGAAGAAATTCCTTGCACCTTTGAATCAAGGCACCTCTTCTCACATTTCTCACCAGTCACCTCGCTCCCACAATCCCACCCTTGCACCCCTCAACAGGCCCCCATCCACCACATCTTTTACAAGTCAAACATGTCAAACCTGAGTCACCCTTCGGGCAGATGGGTCCCCCATCCACCCTATTTCCAGTGTGGCCTACCTGTGTCGTCCATCTCTCCATCTCTCCCCCAGTCTCCGCCTGGTCGTCCACGTCGAACTGGTGCACCGAGCGGAAGGTCTTCGAGAAGCCGGAGACGTCGGTGTCGAAGCGACACTTCTCATAGACGAAGACCTCGGACCGACGGGCGACCAGAGCAGATCGGTCTTCGTCGCGGTCAATCGAAGCGACGGGTCGGACCGGGAGGTTCGGACCTCCCCCCCCAAAAAAGAGGAGGGGGTGGGTTCGGACCGTTTCGAGGTCACTTGGAAAATAGGTCTGGTGAATTGGCCCACAGAGGTTGCAACTTTTTGTGCTCATCAACATGTTCCGAACATGTTCACGGGTGCGTTGAATTCAGCCAGATTTCGAGAAACGGGATGGTCAAAATGGACCGCTGCTCAAGGCAAGAACCATTCGCACACCCAATGGTTTTCCGGAGAGTGTTGAATTACCCTGGAGTTTGGGGGTCAACCCCCGGCCATGTTGTGAGGAGTGTATGTAGAAGCTTTACTCATAATGTCTAAACAGCATCTCTTTCTGGTAGATTCTCAAAAGACTTTAAGGCCCTGCTCGGTCTGAAGTTGAACGGACAAACTGCGTGCACTGGATTTAAGTGCACGGAAGAGGTCTGAAGTTGAACAGGTCCTCTTTGTGAATTAAGGGGATCCTGGGGCCCACTTGGTTTTTGTCTAGTATTTCCACCAGGATATGGATCTTCAACTGACTCGTCCAAGAATCTTACGATGTCACAGAATGCCGCAAAGACTCTCAACATGCTTTAAGGAAGCTTTTCTGTTAAATCTAATCTTAAGAAAGCACAAGGAACTTGCAGCTGAGCAGAACTGAGGATATTCGGAACTCATTCAAATTTGAAACACCAGTGCCAAATGGCGCTACTAGTAGCATCTACCCCTGCACAAATGAACCTTTGTTTTTCCTTTTGCGATTGCCTTTTGCGGTTCGCCGGTCAAATGAACATGAACAACCAGGCAGGTCAAGCTCGCTACAAGAGCGAAGAATATAGATTTCCAGGTGCTAATGACCTGCAGCCATATGGGTTTTAAATTCTTAACCAAAAAGCACGTTGGGTGGGCACCTGGCATACTTCGGCACCCACACCACATTCATCATGAGCTCACAAGAAAGTTTTGCACAAAGGGTCCACACTATAACGGCCATAAGGACGAATAAGCAAAGGCAGGTAAAGAGTGCCTCGCAATGCCTGTACGGCCATATGGTTTCAGCACACCATACAGAGTGGCGTCCAAAGAGGCTGTTTCCACTCGGCAGAAAGCTCTTTCGGCATCGGCATCAAATGGATCCCAAGGACTTCGAAAGTACAAAAGTACATGACGTGATGGTGGAATGCTTGCGCCGAACCATGAGGTCAGTAGCCACTGTATTGGGAAGATTCCCTTGTGACAGTGCATGGGTAAGCCCGGTGTGGAAGGGCATTGCTGAGTTGAGATCTTTGCCAAGCTCACCCATTTGTGAAGCCAAAAGTGAAGGGGGAGCACCTTGTGTCTGCTGGACTGACCGATGAAGAGCCTGAGATGCCATCTAAGACGCAGCTCAGTCGTGTGGTTTCAGAACAAGTGGGTTTGGGGTTCCATGTGGTCCGACTTCTAGGGGTGTATGGAGGCCATTGAGGCAATCGCGATTAGAGACAAAGGAAGAACGGTCTAAAATAGTTTGCTACTAGGTTGGAGGCCATTGGAGGCCATCGCTCTTAGGTTGGAGGCCATTGCTATTAGCGGTTTCTCTTTTCTCATCTTTTCTCTCTTTTCCTTCCGACCTGCAAAGGGTCGGGCATTCCTCTCCGCGACCCAGTGCTGGCTGTGTTTCACATCTATTCCCTCCGAGGCACATCAACGGCTACACGGCTGGCGCGGGGCATGTAGAAGCGGGGGCCTCTTGACGGGGCGGGAGCCGGACAAAGATCCAGACCCGGTCACCCACAGGCTTTAGTCTGGTTGGAGATTTCATTGGGATCCGTCATCCCAGAATATCGCATGAATTTCATATTGCTAATCCTACAATGTATATAATATATATATACAGTATATATAAAGATAGGATGGGTTCCTGTCAACAATACCAACCAGTTAGTCAGTTTTGCTCAGCTTATCTCGGAACCACGTTTGGAGCTCATCTTTGGAGCCAAGGCTGGTCCTCAACCCTAAGGGTTCCTTTCTAGTTTGTCTTTGCACTTGGAGTGGGGGTCCATAGAAAATCAGAATCCCTATGAGGTAGTGCAGGGTGAAGAATTACAGGAAGTTGGACTCTGTATATAGAATATAAACGGATATAAAAGGTTTGGAATGCTCTACTGGCAGTTTGAAGCCTTTTGACCTTCGAAACAATCCAGATCCATCCATCTATCTATTCTTCCCGCTATATGGACCAATGGCTGGGCCAATGGCATAGCCTCGGCTTTTGCTTCTTCACTGCTGTGGGCCAAACTCAGCTGCAACTCGGGGTCACCCAAGGGACTAATTGGCATGGCCGTGGCCTGCTCATCGAGGCTGTGCCTGCTGCTCATCCCGTCCACAAGAATCAGATTGAGCAGAACATGAGCCGATCTCATGTTCAAGGGCGAGCAGCTGTTCGACACGTGTTGACACACCATCACAAAACAGGTCTGTCTCCGATGGTGCAGCTGCATGCAACTACTCTATTATTCAGCTGCGTTGGCCGTTGGCATTGCTTTATGCACCTCAAGCATATCTCCACATGCAGAGTCTTGTGGTCCAACGCAGCCAACGCACGTTTCTGCACGATCCTTTCTTGCTTCGGCTGCAACTCTTTGCGCAAAAGGTTTGAGAAGCTTTGCAGCAAAATTTGCTGAATCGACCCTCCTCAACGCGTTGTTCCACCAGATTGCCTTGGAGCCAGCACACTCAGAGCCTATGAAGGGTGCACTGACGTGTGGCAGTTGTATGGGTTCATTTGGAAGCGGCCTGGATGAACAAATCAGGTTTGATGTGTGATGGCTGCAAACGTCCGACCTTCTTTTTTCTTTCGGAGCAATCAAGAACAGCCATATCAGCAATATCATCCCCCAAAATGGGATTCTTTTTTGGCATCGCCCCTTAGATACTTGGACGACGCCACCCGCAAGACGTGGGTTTTGTCTCCCATCGTCAGGCCCAGGCGCCCGGGTGCCCTGGTTCGCAGGTACCGATGGGATGCGAGGTGACCGGGACCCGTCACAACTGGGGCACTCTGGCCTGGGGCACCCGTCTTGTTCGGGGTCCTGAAAAACCGTTGGTAGGACAGATCAAAACCCGGGCCAGGGGGTCTCCCTATTCGATACATCCACTACGAACGTACGTTCGAAGCTACGAACGCGGCGAGCTCCCGGCCGGTTCGCTACGAACGGAACAAGCTTCGCTCGGTGACCAGTGAAGGACCGACCCATCAGGTGAGTCACCGACACCTCGTTCCAAACGAGAGCGGCCTCGTTCGGACAAAACAGGAAGCCGTTTGATTCACCAAACTCATAGTGAAACCATGTTGAGTGTTGAGAGATCTTGACGAAAGTCGTGCACCCACTCAAAGTCATTAGTGAACGTAGTGAGGTTGAAACAAGTGAACAACCACCCAAGAAACAACTAGCTATATTATACTACAAAACACACCAACCTCACGACCCAGTGGCGCAGCAGCCAGTCGTTCCACCCGCCTTCGAGCCAGTCCAAGGATTCCCGGCAGTGGCACACCACCAGGTGGACCTGCCGTGTGCGGTCGACAAGTGACCGGTACGGGTGGAGGTCTGAAGGAGACCCCCCAGTGGAGGTGGCCGGGGTAACCTCCTGCAGATTAACATGGACTCTCAAAAGCACTGGGTTGCATAGAGGAACATGGTCGAAACCGGTGAACTTTCAGGGTCCATGTTAGTCTGCAGGAGGGTCAGTATTTGTTTTTGTGCTGTGTGCGTGTTGTCTAATACAATGGTCCCACCAATCCCAAGGCATCCCAGGGCTTCATGTCTGTCTTTTCCTCACATGCAAACTGTGAGTGGCATGGTCTTCAACTCTAGTGGAAACTGGTCAGTGGAAATCGTCAGCCCCTCCGATTGGTTGTCCTTACTGCCTCCATGGGCTTTTGCCATTGCGCTTTTGCTTCAGTGACTTCGGCCAGCGCGCGGTGGTAGCTCTGGAACGCGGCCTCGAGGCCAAAGGCAAAGGAAGAACCGGAGGAGGAAGAAACGAGGAAGACATGGAAAATCGTCCTGCACCACCTCAGAGCCATAACATGAGAATGGTGTCAATTTTTGCTTTGTTTGCGTTTGAATGGGCTCGTACGTCCAGGACGTCCTTGTGGTACAAGAAATTGTCCGTGAACAGTAGGTTGGATGAACTATAGGACATCATATCCCACCTTGTTTTTGATGCCAATTGGTGATGGTTCACCACACAAAATAAGAAAACACAATCATGAAGCGTTCAACTGCTGCGACACTGAGCCAACTTCACACTCTCAGAACCTCTCAAACTCATTGAATACGTTCACTGACTGCACGGTGTTATGTGCTTTGTTTTAACCAAATAGGTGGAAAACAGTCACACCAGAGACGCTCGATTTGTCGGGACGCTCCACGGCGTCGCCTGGAGAGGCCAAATCTGTGACTGGTCCAAGTATTGCTGTTCGCTGAGGCCTTCCGCCAACGTGTCGGCCTGGGAAAAAAAGAAACGAAGCGCGGCGTGATCTGGGCAGTGACATGGGTGTGGTACGTTTCGAGTGAAGAATGGAGTGACGTGGATCTGCTGGATTAACACGGGTGGATGTCCTGGGGCCTGAAAGATCAGGACTTTTGAAAATCTGTTGAAATTCAACATGTGATTGTTTTGAGAGTGTCGTAGCTTTGGTAACAAACACATGTAACCGCTTTGGAATTGACAAAACCGTGGCACAGTCTTGACATGTCTTGGCAAGTAGTGGACGTTGTGACAGGCATGGATTGTGCAATATACAGCAGTAGATTTTCCTTCACAAACAAACACATCACCATATCTTTACCTTGTTCAGGCGGAATACTCGGAGAGCTAGAACATCTGAGCAAGTAGATCCACTTCCCAGTGCTGGACACCTGGTTAGCCAAGCCTAGTCATAGCATGCCATACTCATTCTGATAACAACATAAACCCACGTGTTTTCATTACGCATTCCCGTTGAAGATGAATCACATTCGATTTAACATCATATTTGCTTGGAATGTGCCCATGACAATGGCGTGAGCCAAGTGCTGTTGATGGAAAATCAATGAAGAAGACCTTCCGCTACCTTGGGCTTTAACATCGGCAAGCATCCATTATATTTATTATCAAGTCATATCAGCTGAAAACTACTTGGTACAGCTGGTTGACTCGTACCACGAGCGAACTGTTGTCTGGGGTGAGATCAGCTCATATCAAGGCAGCAAATCCCCAAAAAGGGTCACACTGTACGTATAAACCTTACACAACATGAGCTTGCCGTCCACTGTAAATCTGAAACAGTGAAGACATGAACTTGTCAGGGTCACGTGCGCACTTCAGAACGCAGGCCAGCTACACGTGAGCGAGCGCGAAAACCTCTGTTCACAAAATCGTTTTTCATATTTAGGTCTATCATGGTATATCACTTTTGGCGTTCCATGGTGTCCCCCAAATCACTTAAGCTGACGTGAGACTGCCAAGACCTTTTGCTGGAGCATTGTCCGTCAAGTGGCTCAGCTCCTCTTCTAGGCTCAGTTTACCAAAGTGTCACCTTCAACCCATTTGCCCATGGAGCGCAAGATGTTTGGATGTCACTGCAAGAACCGCAGCTGGCTCGACCCGCGAGCTCAGAACACATCACTGCTTTCACCTTTACCGCTCCAGCTCGCTTCGTCACATGACAGTCAGAGGGTCAAACGGGCTGTGTACTAGGCTAGCGAGTGTGGTTCGCAAAGCGCTTCAGCAAGCGCGCCACCTACTCGAATCACCCTGACCTAGACGCAGCATCATAGGACCAGGTCGTACTGCATCTCTAGTACTGCTACTACTAAGACTACTAAGACTACCAAGACTACTAAGACTACTAAGACTACTACTACTACTTCTACTACTACTACTACTTCTACTACTACTACTACTACTACCAATACTTACTACTACTACGACTACGACTACGACGTATACGACTACGACTACGACCTATACGACTACGACTGCGACTACGACTACTACTACAGCCAGCATATTATGTTCGTTATGTTGTTTATCTGTCTTTCTGTCTTTCTTTCTCTCTTGTCTCCTTGCTCGTCTGCTGTGTGATCGGTGTTCTGTTTGGCGCTGCTGCCTGGTCTTCTTACTTGTTTCTGCACCTGTCTCCCCACTGGGGCGAATTAGTTACAAGTAGTTGCTATCTGAAGGCTATGCTGGTGTAATTCTCTTCGAGATTAGAGAGGAGACAAACACAAACAAACAAACAAAAAGAGAGAGAGAGAGAGAGATTCTATTGACACAGCAGCCCTTCCTTCTCTCGCCACTGCCCGAGATTTTCGTTTCTACATCTGAGGCGTCCTCCACAGACACTGCGTGGGTGGTTTGTTTCGTTGCTTCAGCTTCTCAAGTCGCTTTATGTAAGGATAGGAGCTCCGCTTATCTAGACAACATGTTGATCATCCCTGGGTATCGCTTAGTAAGGTATCGCTTTACGGAAAAGCAACAGAAGCAACAACAAGATTCGAATTCGAATCACATGATCGAGGTGGACCTGTTTTGGTATCGCTTTTGGTTCTTCACTCTATCACTCATGTATTTCACGGTCCGCTCATGATTTCCATGCAGAACCTGTCTCACACAAAGATTTGTGTAGACAAAACCCTTTGGATGTTACTCATGTGTCCATCTTTGCCCCCGATCAGCTTAATTCATTAAACTCCAGCCACCAGGTGGAATGTGAACCCCCCCCAAACTTGCTTCGAACCCCAAGGAGCTTGAAGAACCAAGCACAAACCCTCTTGTTTGGAACAAACCACCTCAAAAAAACGCCACGGCTCAAGATTCCCACCGGAATACGTGCCCAAACCCACCCAGCTGCTCGGATCGTCGCGGCCGGACGCGCCTTGGCCAAGGCCTCGCTGGAGCGTTGGGGCGCAATCGGCAGCTGCGTCTCGGCGAGCACCAGGAACCTGCGCCACTGCTCCGGGCTCGGGCGAACACGGTCGCATGCAGGGCGTTCCCTGGTGGTGCAAGGCTGGAGAAGGTTCATCAAGGGCTAGTTAGCTGCTCAAATCAAAAGCATATGGAGAAAGGAGTCTGGCGACGTGTACCTCATGGTATTCTCGGGTTTCTTGATCTCCACCCCTACGCAGCCGTTTTGGGTCACAATATATACAATGAAATGTGCACCATCCCATATATATTAAAACGTTGAAGGGTCCGCCCCATTGTAACAAAAGGTGAGCGCCGCCAACGAAACCCTGCCACCAGGCTTTGGAATACGACATAATGACATCACTTCACCAAGCAGGGATAACATGTGATTGGAGAGATGATGGCATCAAAGGAGCAAATGATGCCAAGCTTGGTCCAAGTAGGACCCGTTTGATCCATGAGTATGAGCCAGGATGTGAAGTAGTCAGCGAGAAACCACATTTAGGGGGCAGATGTCCTTTTGCCACTCTCCGATAGCCCAAAGCACTCAAAATGAGCTCATTCCCTGTGCAATGGTCGATCGACTGACACTTTTGCAAGGGTGTTGTGGGAATCTTACTCTGTGGACCAGAGTACCAGTTCTTTATATTTGTATGGACATCTAAACATCCAACCACCTCAAATGTCAAACCAATGAACGCAAAACCTGTGGGGGAAACAAGCATTCGTGTGCCAAAAAGCCTTTGTTTCGACTGGCGCAAGCCGGCTTTTCTCACCTCTAAGAAGCCAAGGTGAACACCCAGCGGCATCAAGAACCGCCTCAAACCTGACATGTTTTTCTTTTTTTTCTCTTCTCAACCACTACCAATCAGTCAGCCAAGACACGCGCTGATCAGCAAGCCGGGGCACTCCATCATGAGTTTCCTCACACCAAGCGCCCGTGCGAAAAAGATTAAACCCTCACAAACCTGTCACATGCCAGGATGTGAGGGAACCCTGTGCATCTAACAAGAAACAAAACTCCTCCAAACACAGAAGATTTCTCGATCGGAAAACTGTTTAAACCAGTGGGGAGAACTCACAAACAATAGGATAGAGCGAGCGAACACAAAGCGCCAACAAAGGTGTTTGCCTGAAGATGGTACGCAAACGCTGGAAATTATGCAAAAAAGAGGCTCAAGGTTAGTTGGTTAAACTAAATAACTAAAAGGGGGGGGTCTCTGCTACTGTACCTTCCGAAGAATTTTAACTGTGGGTCAGAAGACACGACAAAAAGTACATCTGGTTGCATTGTACTGCTTTGAATGCTGAAGGAGCTGCTCATTCGACTACCCAGATGAGGCCATTGACGCTTCGCTCTGCTTGCTGACCCGCTTCTCTTGGACGTCCGACGTCAAGTTCTGCGTGGAGATGAAGATCTCCTCTCGCGGCAAAAAAAACACGGGGACGACGTGGCCGTGGCGACCCAGGTGATGCGACCGTGTGAACCGTCGACGGACAACACCCACCCTTTTCCGCGGCGGCTGCCAATTCGCCGAACAGTAAGACACAAAGAACAATGCCTTGAGTCGTGGCGTAGGCCATGGTCAACTTAGTCAACTCTTCACTTGGACGGAAACTGCTTGACGAGAAAGTGACTGGACCAACTGGGGTGGGTCCCTGACGTGTTATCTGCTTGGTCAAAAGCCGCAGTGAAAAATTCTCGCAGGTGAGGACATAGACGAAACAAAGGGGGTTCCCATGACCCATGACTTCCCATGACAGGACTTTTTGTTTCGACTCAGCGATGACTTTTGTTTTTGTTGTTCATCTTGCTTCTCTGATTTCTGCCAGCTACCTTACACAGGTGAATAACTAAGACAGTAATGCGGGACTGACTCAAATGGACAACACCTTCATGCAGCAAAAGATGTGTCAACTGCGTCTCCCATGAGTCTTCAATCGCTCATGAACGGTTCCGATCTAGAGCGGTTCCCAGTTTTCCAACTGCCTCCTGCGCCTCAGATCCCCGGGCGCCGTCGGAGACTTTGGACGTTCGACCGCCTCTCTTTTCGGGGCAGGCGGGGCCGCCTGTTCACGCAGCGGACATGGACGATCTGTTTGACTGCGCCCTCGGTTCCGTCCAATCCTTCCGTCAAGGCCTGCAGTTCGTGGTTTCCGGAGCGATCATCCTTGATCTGAAGAACTGCTCCCAGTTACTTGCGGGATGGTGATACTGTGTACTTGCAGTGATGTACTGGTGCGGCATCGGCAGTTCTCGTGCACTGGCAGTTCCGCTGATTTGAAAGGCCGTTTTGTGGAGGGGCAGTTATAGTCTCATATCATCCCCGTGATGCAGCTCATCTCGGTACTTGAAAGCCTTCCAAGTGTCAAATACCTATCGATCCTTTGACCTGTGCACTAGGAGCACGATCCTAGTCTTCTAGGAGGCTCTTTCAAAGGCCCATGTCTCACATTGACAACATGGCTTTCCACCATTCCATCTTTCAGACCAATCTCCAAATCCAAAGGTCTGGGTGTGTCAGACATCCAGAAGCGAAGGACCTCGCACTGACTGCAATGACCTCAAGAGTAGGATAAAAAGGTATTAAACATCCCTGAGGTCCGGAAGCTCCTCCAAAGGAGGTGGGCCAGACTTGGTAAAGAAGCGCTGGAGCTTGTACTGAAGTTCCTGAGGTGTGGCACGCATGGCTTGTCTCTTCGATACATATCGCTAGCTACCAGGAGAAAAGATCGAGAAGCTGGAATTCTGCAGAAGTCAGGAATCAGGACGGGATATCCTCCCATACCAAAGAGCATGTCTTACAGGTACTTGATAATATATATAATATTGTATTCATACATATATATATATATACACAGTATATATATATGGTTCCACAGGCTTTAGGGAGGTCGTGGTGCAGGGATTCCTGTGTTTGAAAGCTTCCAGTGCGAGGGAAACCCAGTCTGGCCGCATCTCGCCGTCTCGCCAGGCATCTGCTCCATCCAAGGTCCAGTTCTCATTGCTGGGATGCGGCACCACGCAAACCTCGACGTCAACCGTGGTAGCGCGAAACCGGGAAAGACCATGTGGTGTGGTTGGTCTCAAAGTAAGTGGTGAGTCGTTCCTGCATGGAGTAAAGTTAGGTCTGTCAGGTCTGGTTGGGTTCATCTTCTGATCTAAATTGATGGAACTTCCTCGACGGAGCTCAAGCACCTCTCGACGGAGAATGTCCGAAATCAAAGACCTTTGGATCAATTCAACCAGCATCTATTTCAGGCGGGCCTTTCGGAAGAGACATTCACTACCTCATACTCTTCACGGAGTGCATGAAACACATTTCGCCGCACCTCACTGGCAATGATGGATGCAAAGCCACCCAGCAGGAAGATCCAGTGCATGAGCCTAATCGTTGGACAAGAAAGACCAGGGGTCAGAAACAACAGGTGCAGAACTTCAGTAGAATCCTGCTCTTGCGTATTCCTGCTATAGATGCAAAGCATGCAGAACCAATAAAAAATAGACCAGTAAAAGTGCCCAACAAAGACGTCGGGAAAATACACCGCTGCACGTCTCTTAACTCTCTTCCAGAAAAATGCCATAGCAACCTGCCAGGACCTGCTTATGGCTTCATCGATCGCGACCAGTAAAAGTGCAACGCTTTACCAGTAAAGGCAGAGGTTGGCAATCGGAAACAACATTGTCGGGTGAGGGATGGTGGCAAGCTGCTGAGGTTCTCAAACATCTGACACAAATGATGGACCTGAAGAACACAATGTGGTGAGCCATCCTGAGTCAGCAGAAAGCGGCTCGTATGGCTTAGCATATTTATAAATACTAAATAATAGCTATCAATAGCTGTGATACGTCACCAATCAACCACTATATCATAGGAATTCATTGGACAGTGGACTTCACCTCACCATAAACATGCAGCCACTGCCCGTAAGACCAAACATCGTTAGCAATACCTCAGCCGAGAAAGTGAGAACGTCGTGTCCCGGTGTACTTGTTGGCTCCTAATAGCGTCCTAGTAGCCAACGCGCGCGCGCGAAAAGGCTCCTAGTAGCGTCCTTGTTCCTAGTAGCGATGCCCTTTGCTCCTAGTAGTGTCCTACCTCATCCAAGTGCTCTTGTTGGCTTTCTTTGCACATCGATATTTTCGGTCGAACTCCTGCATGTGATCCATTAGGCGACTGCAGGGGACCGCAGGGGACAGCAACCAGGTGCGCGTGCCGGTACGCAGTCAGTGCACTGTCAGTCCACCGTCAGTCCACCGACATGCAGGAGCAAAGACTTTACTACTTGGAACCCTAAACAACCAGAAACAAATGGATGTTTCCCCAAACAGCAATATCTTCAGTAAAGGATCTTAATTGCCACATTGGAATAACTATTTGTTTCTGGTTGTTTGGGGTTCCAGGCGTTCCAGGTACCCGATTTGAGAGGCAGCGATCGTCCAACCCAGGGATCTCCAGCGACTCCACTTCCTTCAAGACGTGCGCTTCAGAACCAAAGGTTGCAAGAATAATATAGACTCTTGATGAGTAACTCCCCCCATTTGAATTGGACATCCTCTTCATTTGGGGGTTTTATCAAGAGTCTACATGGATTAGTGTTTGGGCGTTTGGGCTTTGAGCCTTACAGTGAACTTGACCCAATGCTGGTAACAAACAACCAGCTTGCCCAGCCCCTGAAGCATACCGCCCCACTGTGCCCGTTGCGTAATCGGCCATGGGATGCCGAGGAGCAGCTCATCCAAGCCCAGCACAAGTAGCTCCCAGGATTGAAGGCGACATTGCTGACTGAGCTAGTAGGTTGGAGGCCATCGCTAGTAGAATGGAGGCCATCGCTAGTAGGTTGGAGGCCATTGCTTCTAGGTTGGAGACCATCGTTAGTAGGTTGGAAGCCATCGCTCTTAGGTTAAAAACTGAAAAAACACATGAAACAAAAGAAAAGAGAAAACAAGTTGCTGGCAACTTCTTTGGTGGCTTTACTCTGTGGCAGGGCTGAGGGATGTTCGGGGGTGGGTGGAGGTGAGGGTGAGTCGAAAGCTGCTCAATTCGGTTCGTGATTTGTATTGATTTGTCCTGACCATGCTTGGTAATGCTTGGTATATGCGTGCCAGAACCATTCGGTGCAAATGTTGGCGTCGGCCAGTCAATCGGTTTGAACAGGCACTTTAAGAATACCCTTGATTGAATTGTGTCGTGAATTGATCGGACTACTTTTTTGAATCTTTTTGAGGGTTTTGCATGAACACGTTCGGTGTACAAAGTGGTGAGTTACCCGCACGAGTATGTATATCGAAGGAGTTTTGTTAGTGGTGTTGATGTGAAGGTGGATGATGTGTCATTCACGCGAGCAAATCTGCTCTGGCATGCTCTGGCCATCTTGAATGCTGCTAGAAGCTTGCTGTGACTGTTCGGCCGCCTTGACCAAAATCATCTATTCAAAGGTCGAACATCCTGTTAAAATAAAAAAAAAAAACATGTTGACGTCTAATCCAGGAGCCAATGTCCGGATCTTCACGGCACAACCACATCGCTTTGGCTCTAAGTCCTTTGAAGATTTTGAAGTGCCTCAAATGCTTTGCCGTTCGGATCACATCTTCATTTTCAGTAAAAAAGGAACTCCGACGTCAAGGCCGACGTCCCCTGGAGCCCAAACGAAACAGCGCTGCGGCGGGCGTGGCGATGCGGTGGTCGGCCGCCCGTCGCCAAGGCCTATGTAACAGGATTAGAGCAAACATGGGCAAATGTTCTTCGGGACCCAAAATTAATGATGCCCTCTTGTGATAGCTTCTGATAGCTATGGTGCACTGAAGTAGTAGAGTAGATGGCATGTGGAGCACCTTAAAGATGAATTCAATGGTACGACTGTGGATCAGAGCTGATTTGAGTACACCGAACCAGGATGGATGAATATTGCTTTCACTTATTTTCGGCTCAAAGTCGTTGTCATCGGGGTTACAGCATTACCACAACCAAAGCCCAGTAAGAACATTCATGAATATTCCAAGTCGACTGTCATCGTTTCCAACTGCTTCATTCGCTACCTGGATGAATATCTCCACCACCTCAGTTTGGAAGAAAAGGACACCTTCAACAATGCAAAAGCCACTCTCCACCCGCTTGCTTTCATCACCTAGGCAGCTTCGTATTTCTGGACGTGAATGGCTGGGGGAGTATTCGGGCCCAACAGGACAGCTCTCACCAGATTGCCTGCCTGAATCTATCATGGATTGGATTGGCAATGGAAAGTTACCGTGGTTTCAGAGTATGTATATATGTATATATTGGCACAAACCCAAAGATGATTTTTTATAAGGGGTCCATATAAACCTTTTGGGGACCGTGCCATCTACTCTGAAACCACTGTGCTGGCCCTCACAAAGGTCAGAGCAAAAAGACCTCCGCGGATGCACAGTAAAAACACACACACACACACACCAAACGGGCCCGGGAATCCTTGAAATCACCTCCAGAAGCACAATACCTACACCTTTTGACAGCCATCCCATCATCAACGATCATCAACAAGGAATCCAATGCAACCAGCTTTCAGGTGCTGCACAGCGGTATGGGCCCACTACTAAACCACCGTTCGCTTGGGCCCTTGTGCCGATCGCCCCCCCCGGTGGACGCGCACCAAGGTCGAGCGCCAGCAGCCGTCTCTCCAAGCAAGAGCGGTGGGCATAAAGGGTACAACTTTGACACCTGAGCTGGTGTGATCTCAAAAAAACACAGAGACCACAAGGAGACCATTTGAGCTGGTGTGGTCACCTGAGCTGGTGTGTATCTGTATGAAAGCACAGTGTCTGTGTATGTATCTGTATGTGTATCTCCAACAAGATGGAACCCACGAACCCGAATGCAAACACGATCGAAAAACTAATATGTCCAAAGGACACTCTTGTAGGACACTCTTGCGGGACACTCTGTAGGACACTCTTGTGGGCCACTCT